TAAGTAATGAAATCCATACCTGGCTTATGTAACTTTGACCTATATATATGTGTGTGTGTGTGTGTGTGTGTGTGTGTATATATGTGTGTGTGTGTGTGTGTGTGTGTGTCACCTTCACAATAACTTTTTTAAGAATGCAAAAACAACAGAATTATAGACTAAGTCTCCGGTGGATGTAGGTAGCATTTACAGCAGGGAGGGTGAGCAGACATGGTAAAGGAGATGAATACGGTTTAAAAAAGGGTGTGTGTGTGTGTGTGTGTGTGTGTGTATGTGTGTGTGTGTTTATCAATGAAACTTGCTGACACTGGTCTTTTTGTTTTCATTTGCTCATTTGTTGTTGTTGTTGTTGTTGTTGTTTGACATTCCTGGGGCTTGAACTCAGGGCATGAGAACTATTCCTGAATTTCATTATGCAGAAGGCTACCACTCTCCCACTTGAGCTACAACACCAGTGCTTCTAGGGGTGTTTGGTAGTTTTTGTTGTTTGTTAGGTACTGAGAAATCAAACCCAGTGCTCTATGCATGCTAGGCAAACACTTTATCACTAGCCCACATTGCCAGCCCCAACCACACTGTTTTAAGAAAGGAGGCAGGCTGGGAGTGTGGCTCAGTGGTAGAGTGCTTGCCTTACTCATATGAGACACTGGATTCCATTCCTCAGCACCACATCAGCAGAAAATTCATTGTGACTTATCACCAATTAAACGCCAGAAAACTAGAAGTGACATTCTGGCTGAAAGTGGTAGCATGGTAGCCTTTAGTGAAAAGATAAGGACATATGCCAGGCCCTGCCTGAGTTTAAACCCCACAGCCAACAATTAAAAGAAAAAAGAAACAATCATGAACAAACAAAAACCTAAATGCTTGCTCATTGCCTTTGTTCTTCTATTTTTCTTTGTTCTTGTAACTGTATACTTCATATCATTCCATTTTCTACTTTCTTCCTTTCACCTTGGGGGATTGAACCTTGGGACTTGCACATGGAAGGTGGATACTACATACCAACCTATTCTTTCTTCTTTTAAAATAAAAAGTCTGCTTATAGGACAGGCAAGGTAGGGAAGTGGTACAGTGCTTGCATTGCATGAATGAGGAGCTGGGTTCTATTCCTCAGGTCCACATGCACAGACAAACCTGGTTTGCTGTGGCTCAAGTGGTAGAATGATACACTTCAGCAAAAGCAGCACAGGCACAGCACCTGGGCCCTGAGTTCATGCATGAGGACCAGGAAAACAAAATGTCTGCTCATTTAAATTAGTCAAGGCTACCCCTGCAATTTAAAAGATACATACTTTTGAGCAACTAAGAGTCCCAATGTGAAGCACCAGTGCCATTAAATCAGAAGATCTTTTTTTTCTTTTTTTGGGGGGGGTCTAGTCATGGGGCCTGAATTCTGGGCCTAGGTGCTGTCCCTCAGCTCTTCAGCTCAAGGCTAGCGCTCTACCAATTGAGCCACAGTGCCACTTCTGGCTTTTTTCTTTTTGTTCATATGGTGCTGAGGAATGGAACCCAGGGCCTCAGGCATGCAAGGCACACGCTCTACCACTGAGGCACCCTCCCAGCCCCTAGATCATGAGATTTTAACTACTTGTTCTAACCAGGACTCATGGTTTCCACAGAATAGGATATAAAATTCACAACATCATATAGACATATGCAAAGGTGCTTTTGCAATCACTTGGTAAAGGACTGTTTACCTATCATTCTGTAAACCACATTCAAATTCTTCTGCTAAATATTTGGAAGAAAGTATTGTTGCACAGATAATATTAGTGGTCCACAGGTTGAATTCAGGGGCAAAAATTTGTGAGGCTTCCTTTCCCTTCTATACCAGATGCCCTTTTGTATCACTGATTTTGCACCTTAGGGTTTTGCTTCCTTGTCTGGGCCTTTCTACACACTAATTTTTATAATTACATATCACAAGTAGCAAACAAGATAGGCACATATGAGCAGATCCATCTTTTATTGGCTAAGATACCATTTTCATGAAGCTTTTGCTTGGGATGGCCTACAAATACTACCTTTCTAATTTCAGCTTCCTGAGTAGCTAAGATTCCACACATCAGGGAGTATAATTGCTCATTTTTAATTGCTGTTTTTAAATTAAAAGGAGGAAAGGGTGCTTTACCAGTTCAGTGAGCAGTAAGTCCCTTAAAGTTTGAGCTCAAGCAATAGTGTTGGCCAAATTATAATAACAAAAATAATAAAATCAATAATAAAATGGTATCATCAGGGATACTTCGAATGAATGTGGTATGTTGGTTCATGCCTTTTAATTACAGCTATATGACAGGCCTAGCTAGAAGGACTCCAGTCCATGAACCATCCTTTATCAGAAAGCATCCAATTTGGAAAAATAGAATGAGCTATATCCAAATGGCCAGGGTGTGTGTGTGTGTGTATGTGTGTGTGTGTGTGTGTGTGTGTGATAAGTAGGAAGGCCAAGGGCCTCCCAATCCCTCTATTTTTTTTTTACTAGGCCTCTGTAGATAAGGAGAAGGGTGAACAGTGTGAGGGAAGGGGTTAAGCTTGGAACCTAGCTAAATCTGGCAATGTGAAGTCCACTGTCCTTATCTCGTAAATGGAATCATAGGCAGGATCTAAGGATTCTCTTTGAACAATTAAAATAAATACTGAAATTGTTGAAGGGACAGGAAGCCGGAGGTGAAGCACTGAATGAAACCTCTTGTTCCCAGACAGAGATTTCTTCAGAACAGCCCACAGGGATCATGCTTTGATTCCTAGCTTTTATGGAGGCCAAGATGAGAGAATCCCCTTTGAAGCCAGTTCTGACTGGCTTCAACTCAGTTCCTGAGTTCAACACCTCATATTGGCACAAATACATTCCTTCATGAAAGTGTGAAAGTAGAGCTTTTCTTTTTTTTTTTTTTTGTGGGTCCAGTTGTGGGGCCTGAACTCTGGGCCTGGGCACTGTCCCTCAGCTCTTCAGCTCAAGGCTAGTGCTCTACCACTTGAGCCACAGCGCCACTTCTGGCTTTTTTTTCTTTGTTTATGTGGTGCTGAGGAATCGAACCCAGGGCCTCATGCATGCAAGGCAAGCGCTCTACCACTGAGCCACCTTCCCAGCCCCAGTAGAGCTTTTCTTGTAACCAAACAGCTCTGGACATATCTAGATGACTGGCTTATATAGGTTCTGGACTCTTGGTCTTGATTTACTTATTAAGCACTTTCTGATGCAACAGACATTTTTTCAAAATGCCGCCAGGATATCTTTTATTACATAACTATACAGGGGCATCTATCTTGGCTCTAGAAATTCTAATGTTAGGTCAACCTTTGTGTTTCTGTAAAAGAAGACAGTATATTTGTTGGAAGCCACATTTTGGAAGATGGAATACTGGAGTCTATGACACAGTTAGCAGTCTGCAAGCAGCCTGTTGTAACAAAGACTTGCAGTCCACAAATACACTTAGACAGCTTGGAAACAGGACAGAAAGGAAAAAAAGAATAAAAGCAACACCAAGAAACCAATGAGCATCAAGAGAGTGCTGAATTGGGACACTGATGACCAGAGACAAGCCAGGAGACAGGACACAGGACATGATCACAGAGACATGTGGCATGGCATCTGGTGCCACTGTTGCTGCAGCCTAAATAGGGTTTAAGCAGGAGGCAGGGCTACAGGAAATTCCCAGTTCCAAAAACTGAACTAACAGATTGAGTAACATATCAGCCAAATGTCCATGCCTGCTTCCAGGGATCCAGCCACACCCATCATTTGGGAGGCAAGTAATGGATGGGGCATTTCCTTCCCCCTGAATGAAAACAGACCCCACCATCCACCATGTGGCCAAAAGGGCACCAGCCACACCTGACCTCCTTACTTAATATTACTGTATTATTAAATCAATTTATAAAATGTTACATCCTCTTTATCATTTTGTAAACAGTTCAAGAATTTGCTTTTTGTAAAAGCCATTTTTCTTGAGCCCCACCTCTGAAAGAATAATTCTCACATTCACCAAATACTAAACATTCTTCTTTTGAAGTTTGTTTCTTCCTTCTTCTTCCTTCCTTCCCTTCCTCTTTCCCTCTCTCACTTCCCTCCTTCTTTCCTTCCTTCCTTCCTCTCGGCCTAGAAGTGATGCTATAGCTCAAGTGGCAGATAGTTTTACTTTTTGTTAACTTAAATTTTTGTGAGTGATTGCAAAATGTCTTATTTTTCCGAATGTCTTATCTATCTTGGTCCTATATGAGATAGCAAATGAAAGCCTTCTTCTCATAACAAAGAAATATGTGTTCGGGGCTGGGTAGATGGCTCAGTGGTAGAGCACTTGCCTTGCATGCATGAGACCCTGGGTTCGATTCCTCAGCACCACATAAACAACAACAACAAAAAAAAGCCGGAAGTGGCACTGTTGCTCAAGTGGTAGAGGGCTAGCCTTGAGCTGAAGAGCTGAGGGACAGTGCCTAGGCCCAGAGTTCAGGCCCCACAACCAGACCAAAAAAAAAAAAAAATGATACCCACTTCAGATGTATATGTGTTCTGGGTTTTGGATATATACTCATGGCATGGATATATACTCATTACACAAACAAAATATGGAACATCATATTGTATTTCAAAGTAAGGCCAAGAAAATTTGTAATCAGCCTCTAGAACATTGAGAAAATGCAGGCTCATCACATCGTCCACACTGGTGTTTTATCATAGCTCACTCAGCAGAACAACTAAATGGACTAAGAGTGAATCAATCACAAGTTGTTCATCACCAGTAATTAATTAAAGAAAAAAGCAAGCACTGAAGACATTTTGGGGTTCTCCCCCACAAAATGCAGAGACTCTTGTCTTTATCAACCACATTTTTGAAAAAATATATTTTTATTATAAAGATACTGTATAGATTGATTATACAATTATGAGGAAGGTCATGAATACATTTCCAATCAAGCATTGTTACCCGCTCTGAGAAAGATTTTACTACTATGGATGTACTGCAATAAGGACTAATATCTTCCATCAGATCTTCCATTCAAAACTGAACTGGAATAAGTAAGTCATTTGTACTATAAGACATGGATCACACATTCAGAGGGAGACTTAAGGGAGCAATAGAAAACTGGTTGTTCTCATGTTCTTGCCTCCTATCATAACAGTCTTTACCCATCTATTGTTCCCCTAACCATGTTGAAAATGATCTGAATCCAGTCCCAAATGCCCAGAGCACATTTTTCTAAGAGTTTATCAAATTACCCTAACAAACTATTCCTTAGTATAAAAGACACAAATTAATAACTTCAATCTCTGAATTACTTGTCAAGACTGATTGTTTCTACATGCTTTGAATAATATTGAAAGACATCATCCACACTCAACACAATGAAAGGATGAGAAATGTCGGCTTAGAAAGCTGAAGAGTGAAGAATGGTTTCCCATCACACCTAGCTTAACTCTGCCATGAAGGATTTCTCTGTATAATTTACAGAGGTTTTCTGACAAAGATTTTCCTAGGTTGGGCTTCTTTCTTGGGTGAATGTTCTAATACTTGCTGAAGGTTGGCTTCTGGTTGAAAGACTTCCTCTCATGTTTATATTTACAGAGATTCTGTCATGTGTCCAGGTCTCTGATACCTGTACAGATGTGACTTCTGGCAAAATGTTTTCGATACTCATAACTTCTGTCCTGTGTATGCTCTCACATATACTGAGGATTCAATTCTGATTGAAAATCATTTGTTCTGTGCACTACTTTCTTTTCTCCTATGTGAGTCAGTTCTCTGATGAACACTGAGCGATTCCTTTCAGATCAAAGGCTTTCCACATTTGTAATATTTTTAAGATTACTCCGCTGTGTGTGTCCTATGAACTTGGATCCATGACTACTTGGTAAAGGACTTTCCACAATTGTTACATTTTTATTTTCTCGCCTGTCTGTTCTCTGATGCAAACTGAGTTAGGACTTTTTCTTGAAAACCTTCCCATTTATTTTTCCTACATACGATTTCTCTCCTCTTTGTGTTTGTGTGTGTGTGTGTGTGTGTGTGTGTGTGTGTGTGTTGTGATGAACCCTGAGCTGTGTCTTCTAGTTGGAGGACTCAACATCTGTTATACCATAAGGTTTCTATGCCGTGTGGGTTCTGTGTTGCAATTTCAATTTTATTACCGTGAAAGACTTTTCCCATTTGGAACAATCCTAAGTTATTTCATTTGTGTGAATCAACTTATGTGTGTTAAGCTGTGACCTCCAGGTCTTTCCACACTGGTTGCATTCATAAGGTTTCTCTCCTTGTGTTCTGTGATGGATGTGAAGTTGTGCCTTCCAGGTGAAAGAATTTCCATGCCTGCTACATACATAGCATTTCTCTCTGGTGGTTTTTTTCTGATGGACAGAAAGGTGTACGTTCTGGATGAAAGACGTTCCACATAGGTTACATTCACAAAATTTCTCTCCTGTGTGTGCTCTCTGGTGGATAGTAAGGTCTGGCTTCTGGCTGAAATACTTTCCACACATATGACATTCATAAGGTTTTTTTCCTGTGTGTTTTCTGATGGACAGTAAGGTATGACTTCCAGGTGAAACACTTTCCACACATGTTACATTCATAAGGTTTCTCTCTTGTGTGTGTTCTCTGATGGGCAGTGAGCGATGACTTCCAGGTAAAAGACTTTCCACACAAGTTACATTCATGAAGTTTCTCTCCTGTGTGTGTTCTTTGATGGGCAGTAAAGTATCGTTTCTGGGTGAAAGACTTTCCACACAAGTTACATTCATAAGGTTTCTCTCCTGTGTGTGTTCTCTGGTGGACAATAAGGTATGCCTTCTGGGTAAAAGACTTTCCACACGTGTTACATTGATAAGGTTTGTCTTCTGTGTGTGTTCTCTGGTGGACATTGAAGTTTGACTTCCAGGTGAAAGACTTTCCACACATGTTACACTCATAAGGTTTATGTCCTATGTGTGTTCTCTGGTGGCCAGTAAGGGCTGCCTTCCAAGAGTAAGACTTTCCACATATGTTACATTCATAAGGTTTCTCTCTTGTGTGTGTTCTCTGGTGGACAGTAAGGTGTATCTTCCAGGTGAAAGACTTTCCACACACGTTACATTCATAAGGTCTCTCTCCTGTGTGTGTTCTCTGGTGGCCAGTAAGGTGTAGCTTTTGGGTGAAAGACTTTCCACAAACGTTACATTCATAAGGTTTCTCTCCTGTGTGTGTCCTCTGGTGGATAGTAAGGTTTGACTTCGTGGTGAAAGACATTTCACACATGTTACATTTGAAAGGTTTATCTCCTGTGTGTCTTCTCTGGTGGATAGTAAGGTTTGACTTCGTGGTGAAAGACATTTCACACATGTTACATTCAAAAGGTTTATCTCCTGTGTGTCTTCTCTGGTGGACAGTAAGGTGTGAATTCTGAGTGAAAGACTTTCCACACACGTTACATTCATATGGCTTATCTCCTGTGTGGATTCTCTGGTGGACAGTAAGATATGCCTTACAGGTGAAAATCTTTTCACACATGTTACATTCATAAGGTTTCTCTCCTGTTTGTGTTCTCTGAGGGAGAATAAGGTGTGTCTTCTTGGTGAAAGACCTTTCACATTGTTTATATTCTTCAACTACAGAAGAAACATGAGGACTATATGCAGCACATATCTTACCAGGCTCACTGAAATCACCCATATTCTGACACCCATGGAGCTTTTCTGTCCTCATCCCTAAGGAGTTCCCATTATTCTTAATCAGTTCTGACTTCTGTTTTGAGCTCAAATTAAAACTTCTTATAAGTCTCACTTTTTCCTCCCCTGGGTTACTATTCATGATTGCTACTTCAGATAGATATTCATTGTGATTTTCCTGACAGGTGCTAATCACATCCTCCATTTCTGGGACATCTAAAATGAATAATAGAAAAATAGACAAAAACATAAATGAGATCCATAAATTCCTTAATATAAAGATATTTCCTCACATTCTGTTACTAGATTTTCAAATATCAAAGCATTGTTTTATGCAGAATATATACTTTTCTACACAATGTAGTAATTAAGAAAGTAGTACTGATATTTTACAATAGAAAACAATGTTTTTGGTTTTTCAGATTTTTCTATTTTTCTCCAGGAAATATGTACTTACATTATTCATCTACATCCTCTTAATGCTTCAATTCTGAATCTCCCTCTATGCCCAGCACCACTGATAAGAAATTGTCCTGATCACAGGATAGCAGCCCTAGCATACTCCGCTTTTCCTCCTACCTGCATCATACAGGTTTAAAGGAAAATGAGATCACCTTTTGTACATTTCTCATTGTGTTTTTCTCTTTCAGAATGACTTCTCTACAGACAAAGAGAATTGCTAACATTAACTACACTGGTACACCAAATTCAGTTTGTCTCCACGTGAATTCTGGATTGACAATTCCTTGAGACAAAGGATCACCTAGTTCTCTGCCACACATGACTCAGGGGCACTAGGAATACTATTGCTCTGTACAGCTCAAGATAAACAGACCAACTGGGCTCTGGACCCATCATTACCATTCAAGATGCTTTAACCCACCTGTGAAATTCTCTTCTGAGCCTTCTCTTATCCATGGTTCTGCACCTTGCTCCAGCTTGACAATCAATTTAGGTTTAGGAACACAGAGCCCTGTGATTAAGAAATAGTGGAGAACTATTGCTCTTGCTGGGTCATCATTAATGTAAGGTCGCAGACATCCTGTTCCCAAGGTTGCTACTAAATCTTATTTCTCAATTGTTATTTCTTTTAGGGGGGGGGGGGGGACGGTTGTACGGCCTGAACTCTGGGCCTGGGTACTGTCCCTCAGATCTTCAGCTCAAGGCTAGCACTCTACCACTTGAGCCACACCGTCACTTCCTGTTTTTTTTTTCTGCTTATGTGCTGCTGAGAAATCGAACATAGGGCCTCAAGCATGCAAGGGAAGCACTCTACCACGGAGCCACCTTCCCAGCCCATGGTTTCTCAATTCTTAACAGCTCAATTGTGGAGTTTCCCCAGCTTTGGGTTTATTGTGCCAATTGTGTGGCTTGAACTCAGCTCTTTTTCTCAAAGCTAGCATTCTACTAGTTTGAATGTTAGCTACATTTCTAGTATTTGAATGGTTAATTGAAGATAAGAGTCTCATGGTCATTTTTCTATAGTTGCTGGCTTCAAACCACAATCTTCAGATTTCAGCCTCCAGAGTATCTAGAATTCGAAGCTTGAAGCACTAAACCCTATAACAGGTTTGGCTTACAAACTTTCAACTACTGATTTCCACATCATAATCAGTAGTAACGTATATCCTATCTAGACTGTAGATCCACCAAAATAATCATTCCAAGTCTGGGAAGTCAGTCTTGTATTAGTGGAACACAGTTGACTTTTGTCCAACTACTGATTTGCTTTCTTAAAGAGTGAGAATAAAATTAGCTCTTGAGTTACATATAATCAAGTTGAAGTTTCCCTTAGAAAGAAATGACACTTCCCATGGACTGGAATCTTATCCCTAAATAACATAAACAGTCTAATGTCTAGTAATAATAATGTCTAGTAAAATAAAAAGCACTTGATCTTCCAAGTAAAAATGACCTTTGCTCACCCAAGGACATGAGGTTGCTATAGGTCTCCAGCATTACATCTCTATGAAGGGTCCTCTGACCAGGATCCAGATCCTGCCCCTCCTTCCAGGTGAAGTCCACAGCCACATCATCAAATGATATCAAATTCTGTAATGGCACATATCCATCAAGAAATCAGACCTGGGTTATGAGAACTCCAATCTGGTATTTCATTATGCTGCAGGTATGCTTTTTTTTTTTTTGGGGGGGGGGGGGTGTCCGGTCATGGGGCCTGAACTCTGGGCCTGGGCACTGTCCCTTAGCTCTTCAGCTCAAGGCTAGCACTCTACCACTTGAGCCACAGCACCACTTCAGGCTTTTTTCTTTTTGCTTATGTGGTGCTGAGGAATCGAACCCAGGGCCTCATGCATGCAAGGCTAGAGATCTACCACTAAGCCACCTTCCCAACCCCTACAGGTATGCTTTTGTCTTACATAAAATGTTCACAGCTTGCTGTGTTATCTATTCACTGAGAGAATTAAATAGCAAATTAGAAATATTTGACAATATATAAACCTGGTCATTAAAATACACAGATTTGTAGGGCACTGGTGGCTTATGTGTTCAATCCAACCTACTCAGGAGGCTGAGGTCTGAGGATCATGGTTCAAGGCCAGTCCAGGCAGGAAAGTCCATGAGACACTTATCTCCAATAAACTACCAGAAAACTGAAAGTTGCACTGTAACTCAAGTGGTAGAGCACTCACCTTGACCTGAAGAGCTGATTGACAACAGCCAGGCCCAGAATTGAAGCCCAAAGACCAATAAAAATTACAGTTTCCCAAATGCATGCAAACACATTTCTGCTGCTAGCAACAGAGACAAGGTAAAAATTCTACGGATGGCTGGTAAGGTGGCTCAGTGGTAGAGCACTTGCCTTGCATGCATGAGGCCCTGGATTCTACTCCTCAGTACCACATAAGCAAAAAGAAAAGAGCCAGAAGTGGCACTATGGCACAGGTGGTAGATCAATAGCCTTGAGCTGAAGAGCTGAGGGACAGCGCCCAGGCCCAGAGTTCAGCCCCAGGACCAGACCCCCCAAAAAAAAAATTCTAAGGAGACAATAATCTGGCATGACAACAATAAGTCTAAAGAGGTATGTTAAAAATTATATTATCATTTTTTGATAAAATTTTAGTACATATCAGGGTAACAATGAATTACACAAATATTTTTCCTGCATTTACATATACTGCATCATCATAAATCCTATTTAGATCTACTATTAACAAGTACTATAATAAGGAAGCAGCACACATTCAGGATATCACATGGAATACAGAACATAGAACATGACCAGATCTATGAAAAGCAGTGTCCACATGAATGTTAAAAACAGTAGCAGTACTTCAGAAAGAAGCTAATGATTTTTTGGGCCCTTATAGGATTTGATTTAGTTCCCACATAAAACTATCCTAGGTTGGGCTGGGAAGGTGGCTCAGTGCCTTGCATGCATGAGGCCCTGGGTTCGATTCCTCAGCACCACATAAGCAAAGAGAAAAAGCCGGAAGTGGCACTGTGGCTCAAGTGGTAGAGTACTAGTCTTGAGCTGAAGAGCTGAGGGCCAGTGCCCAGGCCCAGAGTTCAGACCCCACGACTGGACCCCCCCCCAAAAAAAAGAAAAAAAAATATCCTAGGTTAACCATGTTTGGTTTAAATACTAAATATTGAAATGTGGTCATAGATACCCTGGTATTTCCTTCCTACATAAAAAAGAACTGCTACCATGAAGTTTTGTAAAGTTTCCCTACATTCTACAATACAAAATATAGGTAGGAGGGGAATAAAATGTTCCTTGACACGATTTTCATTTTAATAGGCCTTCATGGAAGGTGGAGGCAAATTTATGCAGGCTCAAGGAACACTCAAGATGACAAAAATGATAAATATGACCAAATGCTCAAATGTGGCACATATTCCTGAGTCATTTCAACAGTAGATCGCTAAGGATATATTTCCACTTGTGTTAGTTAATAGTGAAATTCCTCAGAGATCAAAATCAATTCCTGAGCAAACATCTGTGAGATTTTGCAACAAGTGATATTTCTAATAGAGAAAACCTCAGCACTGCATTGTTTTTTTTTTTTATCAAAAGTAGTTCAAATCTTATACTGGCAGTGAATTAAAATATTCAAAATAGTGGGAAGGAAAAACAAAACTGAATACCACATCAAATGAAGTTACCAAAGATAACAGAAGCAGGAGAAATCAGGTTTTCTTGTAGTGTATCAATTGGGGGAAGGAAGTACTTTTCTGTATGGAACTCTGAAGTTGAGCTGCAGGGGGTAAAGGATTGAGAGGTTGGAATTCCAGCCTGACTGCACTGAGAGCACTGAGAGCTGGATGCAGAAGGCTTAAAAGAGAATTCTGGAGAGGGTTAAGAAACTGGAGTGCAGGCTTTTTCTTTAGTTTTAGAAAGATAGCAGCTGAAACTGAGGTGCTGTTTAACTTGAGGGCTAGGAAAGGTGAACTTAATGTTTGCATTTTCTCTGGGCGCCAGTCTTCTGTCTCAGGAGAATAAGGAAATATGTTTCCCCCACAACCTGTTGTGGCTCTGATTGTATTATTAATATAGATAGTTCATTTTTAATGTTATCAATAGTAATCTTCCCTGTGTGCACTCAAGGAACTATGCTAGCTTGCTGATACCCAGGAACCAAGTGCCAGAGAGCCTTCAAAACCCTAATTTCCCCTAAGTCTATCTGTTTATGTTTTTGTGTTTCTCTAATTGTCTTTGGTTCTGGAATCCTGTAGAACTCTCTAGGAAACAATTTTCCTATATAATGAGTAAGAAAAATGTTAATCATAAGAGCCACGTCAGCAAAGTAAAACTGATCACTAAGAAAAACTAGCTCCCAGATAGACCATTTGAAGAAAAGAAACAACTGAGACACATATGGAGGAAAGATGGAATGAAAAAA